ATGGTGCTCCTGACCATCTGCACCCCCCTTTCCAAAATTCTAGGTCTGCCCATGGGCAAGAGCCTTCACAGGCAACAACCTGTTTGGTCAGATGCTAGGAGCAGACAGTGAATGATAAATGGCTCACTCCCCGGCTTGATTACTGAAACATATTCCAAAATATGACACTCCTATGTATTATCACTCTCTTGATTGTCATCTGTTGTCACATGAGACTGTGCAGTGAAAGTCTCCCTAACTTCGATTACCAACTTTATTATGGCAACATTTTGTCCAGTGTTTTGAGTGCCATTATATGGAAACGTCTTCCAAATGTCCCAAGCCCACTCAGCTACCATAGCATTTTTCCCATCCCCTGGGTGAGTGCTAATTAAAGCAAGAATCTTCTTAGTTGGATGGCTTTTAGCCATTGCACAATGATACTTCAGTTATCTGAAATCTGGCTTCCACTCAAAGCTATTTCATCTTTCAAAGACAACAGACCTCTCTAGTGAGCTCCTGTATTATAGATAGCTCCAACTAGAGAAGGAAGATTATGTCATCCATAGAGGGAGCTAGTGCATTGGGACACTGAAAGCTTCTTTTAAATTCATTGACACAGCTTGGGAAAGACATTGTAAAACACAGAGTGCTTGGAATCTAGCTCATCAAAGGGTACTGGACAGGATGCTGATCTCACTTACACTGATGAAAATCAGGAGTAGCTGCAGTGAAGTCAACAGAGCAATAGTGTAAAGTCACTGTGTGGGGGGGAAGATGATGGAGAACCTCAAAAACCCAAGAATATCATTGCGCTGCAGGGCAGTGGGAACAGAAGCAGCACAGTGCTGGTGAAAGATATTATAATTAGAGGTGTAAGGCCACCTCCCAATGTACAACTTACTGTCATAAGCAACCATTTAAAAGTGGACCTGTGTGGCTTCTGCGACACTTTGGTTAAACTTTTAACAAAGATGATATCTCAAATAGGTTATCCGCTTTTATTGACCTCTTGGGTGCTCCCGCAAGGTGGGTTCTACTGAATAAGTGTATTACAGTGAAACCAAAATCACTGCGTTCCTCAACCGGCCATACTGCATTGCTCAGGGCTTTACAATAGCTTACTGCAGTGATGCTCAGCCTTCTGGCCCTGCAGGCCAGATGAGTGGTGTGGGGTCAGTCTGCAGGACAGATCCCAGGAGAAGGATCAGTCTAGAAGCTGGATCCGGCATGGGGTTAGCACATGGGGTCAGTGTGTGGATGTGATCTGGCATGCCAGCCTGGCCCCACGCATCAGTTCTGGGAACAGTCTAACCCCATCTGCCAGCTGTGTGCTCCGTGGTCTTACCCTGTATGCCCATCCAGCCCTGCATACTGGATCAGGCCACAGAACAACCCCATGCACTGGCGATATCTGCTGCACAGGGCTGTCATCTGGCCCGCAGAGTTCCCCACAGGGTCAGAAAGTATAGTGGTGTGGGACTGGTGGCCATGTTAATTGCCATGGCTTTCAGAGCTGCGGCAATTAGTACTGCCACTGCTCCCCCACTGCCAAATTTCTAGATCCAGGGGGAGTCTCAGGGGCTGGATGACATGGCCCTGCTGGCTAAAGGTTGAGTACCACTGGTTTGCTGCAAGAACATATTTGACAACTTGGCTAGCTAGGGGAGCTCTGCATTTCCCCTGATGGACTGCCCTGAAATTTTGCCTTGAGGCAGGACTCAGCTGAGGACAGTAGAGCAAAACACTAAATTGAGGCTGTTGGGCAGAGAGGCCATTGAGACAGCAGGATGCTGACTCTACAGAGATGGAGAATGTGAACGAACTGCACTGCGTGCAGCTGATGTAATCCAGTGCTCTTCATGCAGGGAGCCACCCCTTCTTGGGCCACCTGTCGCATACACTGCAACCTACCACTCATCACCTTTTTCATCTGGGAACAACCTTCACTGTTGAGACACAGTCCCTGTGGGCAAGCCTCCTGTCCTCTCTGCTTCATTTGGTGCTCACTTTGAACCACTTCCGCCGAGCACTTTCGTTGTCCCTGTTAAATCCAGCTCTTGCTCTCAGTGGTATAAACCAGGACCTCCAATGGAGACAGGCTCGAGTGAATAGGCCTGTGAGTGTTTCGAATCTGTGCCTTTGGGCAGAATTCTGATCTCTGGAGTAATGTTTTCGTTGGAACAAATGGAGATTTACAGGGTGCCTCTACACATGCAATTACCACATAGCAATAAACTCTGGCACAGTTTGCACTGGAGTTTATGGCTTCCAGGTATAGTGTTTATATATGTGCCAGGGACCACAGCATGTTGAACCGGGTCAGAGCTGCTTCACCCTGGTTCAACATGCTGCAGAGGGGCTGGCTAGTGCATGGGGGTGCTACAGTGTAGGGTTGGGCATGAGACAGCCCCTGCATTGTAGCACCCGCACGCCCTAGCCAGCCCTGGTAGCTGTCTACATGGGTGTTTTGGCACACTAAATTACTCCATTATAGGATAGTACTTGTCCCAGACAGTACTATCTTATAGGGATGAGCAAAACAGGCCTTATTCGATTCAGATTCTGTCCAAATCAGGGACAGTGATTCAGTTCCTTGATTCGGATCTTTGTGCCTGATTTGATTCGGCTGAATCTGAATCTGAACATTTGATGCTGATTCGGAGAATCAGCGATTCAGCCATAGACACAGCTTTAAATGTTTTTCTACATACCTCAAGGTACCAGGCACGGACTGTGAACACTGTGATGCTGGGGCAGGTGGAGCGTCCCACAGGAGTGCGGGGACGCCCCCGTATGCTCGGCGGTGAACCCAGAAGTGGACCAGAAATACTTCCAGTCCACTTCCAGGCCCTACCAGCTCAGCGATTGGCCTCAGGGGGACCCTGGGTGCACCCCCTGGACCCAGGAGGCAACAGTCGCCAAGCTGGGGGGGTGCAGGGGGTCCCCCACGTGCTCCCCGGTGGGCCCGGAAGTGGACTAGAAGTGCAGTCCATTTCCGGGTCTGGTGCCGAGCGTGCTGGGGAGCCCCCCGTGCTCCTGTGGGATACTCCATGTGCCCTAGCATCGCAGCAATCACAAGTCGCCTGGTATCCTGAGGTGTGTAGGAAAAACATTTAAAGCTGTGTCTATGTCCGAATCACCAAATCTTTCCGAATCGATTCAGAGGGTTCCGATTCAATTCGGAGAGATTAAAGGGTCTCCTGATTCAATTTGGATTTGGAGATTCAGCCACTGAATTGGGCCAAATCTCTGCTGAATCGAATCAGCAACCGAAGCTTCGCACAGCCCTACTATCTTACAGTGGAGTTAATTAATTTACTGCATCCTGATCCTGTGAAGGTGTAGAAGGTGCTGCTTTACTGTGGAGCTATTCAGTCAACTCTGCAGTAAAGTGCACGTGTAGATGCACCCACACTGATATAGCTGGGGGCAGAACCTGGTTTCGCCATCTGGGCCTTCATGTTTCAGAGTCCCAGCATCTTTTAACGGAAAAGTAAAGCTGGTGTTCCTCTTTTTGATCTGTGAAGACCCACTGCAGCACAGGCAGCAGCAAAGCCTCTATTTTCATATCCACTCCAATTAGGTGTTAAGGCATGGACAATTGAGTGAATTGCAGTGAGGTAAAAGGAGCTGGAGACTTACTACATTTCAGCTGCTCTGTCCATGAGCCTGCTTTCATCTCATGAGAACTAAAAGCTAACTGTGGTAGCTTAGCCCTGGTTCCTGCAGCTTAGTTGCTACTTACCACAGGGTAAGAACAGGTCCATAGGAAGTTACCGGGAAGCTGCTGTCGCGCACCTCCTCCTCATCCACTTTTAAGTCCCCGCAGTTTGCTTGCTTGCCAATACCCCGATGCTGCATAATAACAGCTATCACAGCTTTTCACTAATGATTTTTTTTTAAAAATCTCAGTTGAATCTTGCTGGTTCAGTGCTTATAGGACACTAATCTAGGATTTGGGACACCTGAGTTCAGGTCCTGTCCTGCCATAGATTTCCTGAATAACCTGGGGTAAGTCGCTTGGTCTTCTCAAACCTTCATTTCCCCATCTGTGAAATGGGGGTCATAAGACAGGATTACTATGAGAATAAATACATTACAAATAATAAGGTGCTTTGACACTATGGTAAGGGGAGAGGGGGGCTGTACGGACCTCAGACAGACCTGATTCTTAGCAACAGAGCCCAGGAGTCCTGACTCCCAGACTCGTGCTTTATCTGCTGGACCACACTGCCCTTTTTCACACAGGATAGCTGAAAATTATCCACCTGATCATGTGTGACTTGACCCTGCAGAACGTTTAGTGCCCTGGGCTGCTCCAGGAGCTTGGCTTCCCTATTGCAACTCACAGGCTTATGGTTAAGGACACCCGTTAAGTGCTTTGCTTGGTTAAGGCTTTGTGGAAGGTCTTGAACCCAAGAAGCTAGTTGGGAAAAACAGGCTTTCAGGAAAGAAAAAAAGATAGATAGAAGTCCATCTATAAGAAAAAAATCTTATATAGAAGTCTAAAATCTCTGCCTTTAAAAATAAGTGCAATGAACAAAGCAAAGAAATAGCCTAATAAATCTGGAGCTATAATCCTGGGATAATTCTAGAAGAGATTGGTTGGGTCCCGTGCTCTCAGCACAGTGACAACCAGAGGAAAGCCCGTGGGCACCACGGGGTCCAAAAAACTGCATTTACTAACTACATGCAAACACTGGAGGCAGGCTGCATGCAGACAGCTGCTTTGACTGGATTCTGGTGACTGCTCAAAACACAGAATACAGTGAGCGCTGTTACAGGACAATTTAAGGAGATGCAACCCTTTTCCTACACACAATGGCTCTGAAAACTAAAACTAAAACTTCTTCCTGTCATAAGGAGAGGAAAGAGCAAGCACATTTGTCTTTGCAAGAAAGACCTGATGGGGCCTGATTTCCATCTTGTGCAATTCCATCAGCCTGTAGCAAATATCTGCTAAGCCTCTGTGCTTGCATATGCAAGCTAGGATAATTAAGATGTTTCTCTGTTTTTAGGGACTACGTGGGATGGAGAATTCCTAGAGCAATGCCAAATGTTTGAGTCTCATCCAAGGCAAAGCAGTAAAGTGGAAATGTGGTCCCTGAAACAACAGGCGGCAAAAGAGCTATTTTGGGACAGCTCTAGCACGGACTCTGAGGACTGGAAAAATGGGGAGAGAAAGCTGTATCACAGACCAGGGCTTGTGAGGACCAAGACAGAGAGAATCTCTCTCTTTGATGAGTTCTTTGATAAGCACTTCTAACTGCCAAGGGCCAGGATGCGACCCTAGCTATCCCCTGGGACAGCAGTTATGTCACGAGGCTTTTAAACCCCCTAGCTGGATACACTGAAGGTATTAATCATGACATCCTGTGAAGTAAATGAGGTTTCTATGAGTATCTTAACAATGTGGAAATAACTACATGCAAAATCATGGATTTTTTTATAGTTCTGTTGCTGAACCAAAAGATATCGGGGGAAAATCAGTTTGATTCAAACCAAAATGGATTTAATGTTTTGTTTTGTTTTTTGGCAAAACAAAATAACTGAGAAATCTCATTTGGGAACAACACAGACCATTTTGTTTGACCCAAAATGAAATATTTTGTTTCCTATTTGGGTTATTAATCCCTTTTTTTTTAGCCTTTTCTTTTTTAATTTAAATCCATTTTGAAATTAAATGTGTCATGGGAAGAGGAGGAGTGAAACGGTTTCATTTAGAAAATGTATAAACACAGCATATCCATATTTCTTAAAGGAACCATTCCAGCTGGGAAAAAGTCGCAACAAAATGTTTCTTTTACATTTTAAATTTTCCCTCTTTTTTTTTAAGCTGAAATTATTTACCGAATTTGAGCCAAACTCACAAATGGGTCCAGTCCTCCGTGAAGCTTGATTTTTCTGTAGATTCATTATTCATCAAAACAATATCTCACCGAGCTCTGGAGAGAACTTACCCTTCTCTTTAATAAGTCTCCGGGGACCCATGCTGCGAGGCTGAGTCTGCTTTATGGAGAAATACAAGGAATTCAAGTGCATATGACACTGCACTTGGATTGAAGTGACTTATCATGCAGCCACTTTAATAAGACTGCATGAGATAGGTAAGGGAATGACATTGGCAAGCACTGAAAGGGCTAGACCTGCAGTCCTGACACAGGCAAAGCACCTACTGACTTCAGCAGGAGCTTTGCATGAGTTTGGATAGCAGGTGGGGTAGAAGTGCACCTTACAGACTAAATGAATCAAGGATACATAAGTTTTCACGAGCAACAGTTCACGTCCTCAGATGCTAAGAAAGGACATGCATTTGGATTGTCAGCTCAAGGGACCCAAGACTAAGATGCACTGCTCCTTGCTTCTCTGCTTCCCTTCCAAGTAGCCCCTCAACCCCAGCCTGCCTCTGATACACCTTCCTCTTATGGAGGGATTGCAAGGCTGACCCTTACCGTGCCACTTGGTCACATAACTCTCATTAGTCCCTCTCCCCTCCCTCCTCTTGCTGGCAGGGCATCCAAGTAGCTCAAGATCTGAAGGCCCTCGGCTGGATTTTGGTCATTTTAGCTGCATTTAGATTGGTGTCTAAGACGGCATCAGATGCACGACCTCTGCTTAGAAAACTATGAGGGTGGCATCACCACCTCCTCCATGTAGCAAGAGTCCAGCATAAGACTGAGGCTACACAGATTTCAAGCAAGCACAACTAACTACCATTGCAGACATGTTCCACGCCCGCAGTTTGAGACCTCTGTTATTCTGCCCGTTAGGGCATTTATTTTATATCCGCTTACACTGTCCTTGTCCCTGTGCTCTCTGAGTGCTTTGCAAACTAATGAATGTATCCTTGCAGTCTGTTGTAGGTAGGCCAGTGTTGTTATTCCCTTGGGAAATTCAGATAGATGAAGGGGAAGGCGGAGATTTGCACAGAAACCGAAGGTAGTTTGACACCAAGGCTGACTGGATTTCAGCGAGATCTGCTTCCTTGCATCCCTAAGGCCCTTCTTGGAAATCCCAGCCTCACTGGCCAGCCCAGGATCATATGGAAAAGCTGTAGCAGAGCTTGAAATCAAACTCTTTCATCTTGATTTCCAGCCCAGGGCCATAACTGTGGATGTAGTCTTTCTGGACTTCAGCAAGGCCTTTGACACCGTCTCTCACCCCATCCTAGTTAAAAAACTAGGTGACTGTGGCATCGATGCCTCCACAGTCAGATGGACTGCAGATTGGCTGAGGGGTCGCACTCAGAGGGTGGTGGTGGATGGGTCATATTCGACCTGGGGCGAGGTGGGTAGCGGAGTCCCCCAGGGCTCGGTCCTGGGGCCTGCGCTGTTCAATTTCTTCATCAGCGATCTGGATGAAGGGGTGGAAAGTAACCTGTTTAAATTCGCTGATGACACCAA